CTCAGTAAATGCTCCATGAATGAATAATCACTGCTTTTGAATGAAGTGATGATGGGCAATTAAAGAAAACGCAGTGTGAGTACTGAATAAAGATGGGTGGGTAGTTTCTTGCTTAAACATCCATCCGCAGCCTCCACAGATTTGAGGCAATAAGCATTTGCTAGGTATTTTGTGGGGACCACAGGGCTGGTTGGCAGTTGCTTAGAGGGGCCAAATATAAAGTATGTATTTGGGGAAGGAATCATTACACACACAACAGAAAATAGATATGACAATGTACAAAAGAGAACTGCATGGAATGTGACCAACTGTCCAAGTATTCCACATCCAGTAAGAGTGATGGGTAATCAGAAAAGGAGAAACCCTTTTTTTTGGTGGAGTATTTGGGAGAGTTTAATGGAGGGAAGAGGATTTAGGGCCATTAATTCAACAACTATTAACCATCTGGTATGCCAGGAATTCTCGTAGGTACTAGGAGTATGATGATAATAATTAGCATTGGGTGATAAAAGTCTGGTAAGAGTGGGTATGGAAAGAAGGAATAGATGATAAAGTAACTGGTTAGAGGAAGGAATGAGGCTTCAAAGATCTTGGAAACTGATGACCTCAAGTGTACACAACAGGGCACCATCAAAATTAGGACTATTCCACCAAACTGGGAAGTGGAAAACATTGATATGTTTATTTCACCTTTTTTTTCCATCTAGATTAATAACCTCGTTCCTGATATCAAAAAGAATGGGAAATACGAGCAAAGGATGCAGCCATCCTACTCACTGTGCAGCCTCTTTTTTAGGGTAGTGATAATAAGACTCAGTTGTTTAAGGACCCTGTCAACAGTAAGTGACCCAGAAAACCACAACTTCAATCTTTTCTTCTCATTCTCAGTAAAGACGGTTGTCAAAAGTCTTGGTCTAAGGTTGACAGCATGCCCTCTGATTTCCATCCTTATCTACCCTTTCTTTGAAGTTCTATTTCTTTACATTTCTCCTCCCAGTTATTTACTTCTGGGGCAGGAGTCGTCCTTCATCGCTGTTTACCCCACCACTTCCACGCTTTCTGTTCTACCTGAAATGTTCTGGACACTGAACAGCTTTAGGATTGGCTTGGGTTCCTTCTTTAGAATTCCATCATTGAATACATTTGGGTCTTAGACTGAAGAGCAATTAAGGTCATTCATTTCTTCATGCACTTCCCATTTCACTGTCCCTCACAGTTTCTAACTGATCTGTTATAACAATGATATAGGGCATGATCACTTTCGTGAAATAGCTATTGCCACATAATACAAAGATCCTTTACCAATTAGGTAGTGACTCCAGTGAGCTTGTCTCCCTGTTTCTTCATGGTGAGAGATTCCCCACACCTTACGGTACACTTATGGAGTTGAAGGGACCTAGAGTATCACTAATTACAAATGTGTGCATTTCACAGATGATGAAACTGTGAAACTGTGGCCCAGCGAGTGGTCAAGTTATATGAACTTAAAAACTAGGTTTCCTGACTTCCAAGCCTACATCATGCTAACCCTAAGTATGTTGTTGTTGTTTGCCGTCGAGTCGGCCCTGACTCATAGCGACCCCTCCTTGGGTTTCCGAGGCAGTATCACTACGGAAGTAGGATTGCCCAACCTTCCTTCCGAGGAGTGGCTGGTGGGTTTGAACCACCAGCCTTCTGGTGAGCAGCCAAGTGCCTTAGCCACTATGCTACCAGAGCTCCCAACCCTAAGTATAGCTGAGACATTTCTCCTACATTGTGAGTTAAATAGGCTTTGGTGGGCTGGAAACCTAACTACTACTTACTACAATTTCTATGAGAAAACAATTTCTGAGTTATGGCTCAGAATTCAGAACACATACTTCGACCTCCCACACATTCTCTTACCACCTTGCTAAACATAGTACCTGGCCAGCCGGCATGACCAAGGAAGGGCATTTTATATCCTTAATAACTTGCCTGAAAATTAACAGAATACGGTTTATTTATCAGACCAAATATTTACACAGGCAGACACCTCAAAACTGAGGATAATTATTGTAGGATGAATTTTTTGATGTATCCAAATTAACCACTTGTCTTTCTTAAAATTGCATGTTACTTTCTTTGAAGGAGGACTACAGGAAATCGACTCACTTTATGGACATAGGTAAGAGAGATCTAAAAACCCAGTTAGCAATGTGATGATTGACTAGGATGTCTTTTTTAATAACAAAGCAACAAATGGAACTAAAAAAGGACAAAACAAAACTTACCTTGATTTGTAAAAGTATTAATCGAAGCCTTTTACACACAGTCACTTTGCCTAATTATGGCAAAGCATTAGGGACTATTCACATCATTAAATATGTCAATTTAAATTATTTGATTGTAACACCATACTCTAAGTCTTCATACTTTGCTGCTTAGTTTGGTTATCTGTTCATAATTTTTAATGTAAGATGAAGAAATAGTGCTGGCCTAAAAAGCAATAGCCAATTGATCTGGTACAGTTAAGGTTAGAGGCAATAGCATGAGTGTTACCCATTGCTTCACTTTCTATGGAACCACTGTAAAATTTTTCATATAGAAAACTTTTTAACAATCTCTTTTGACACCCTAGTTAAACCTTAGTTTCTGGTCGTGAAAGTCCATGGCTTTCTTACATAATGTATTCCTGAAAATGGGTTCAAAAGTTGAGTATGTAGAAGTTGAGTAAATGTATAATTGTTGGTTCTGTTCCTAGAAAATGAAAAATTACACTCAATTACACCTCATGATTAAAGAGATTCTTTGATAATGTGAGTCCAGGGTTTCATCCAGATTATTTCATTTTCTTCTTTTCTTTTATGAGTGAACACCCAACCAGCCAGCTTGGATATTCAATGACATCCAATGAGGGTTTAAGATTTGCCACTGTTGACTTGGCACTCCTAATCCTTTCCATCCATGTATCAAGCATATCATGTTCATAAGACCCATGCTTCTTATCAGCACTTTTATTTTTATGTTTTCTACTTATTTTCATGTAAGAGTAAAATGCAATAAAATATTCAAATATTGCGCACAGTATTATACAAATAAAGATGGTAACACCATTGGCTGGCAGTAGGTTTTGCCTTGTTATTGAGCTAAATGCTTGTTCATTAGAGATTGTACAAAAATCTAAATTTGCATCCAAAAGGGACCTTGGAGGTACTGAATATACAAAGGTAAGTTCTGTCAAGACAAAAGTGCTGGAAATGGAGACAATGTATAAATAACAGGAAAGACAACCATACAGACATTATAATTTCTTCTTCTCCTTTTATATCACATTACCCTGTTTCTACCGCATAAGTGACAAGGAGAGTAAAGGGATCATTGAAGGAACACTTGCAGAATGGATACTATGTGCCAGGGACTGTGCTAGGTAATTCACTCTCAAGATGGGCATGCCCTATAGTGTGTTTTATGTCAGAAAAGACCCAAGTCTCCAGAGGCTGTTCACTTCAATAAGAGTCCTTGTTTGCCGAGACACAGAAGTCCTAAATTGGACTGAGGAATGAGAATGAGAGAGAAATTAGAAAAGGACCACTCAACTACAGTTTTCTTGGATCATTAGAAAAGGACCCAAGAAAACTGTAGTTGAGTGGATTATTAATAGCGTGGTTTTTATCTATCGAGGTGGGATGGAAAATACATTTCTAAGTTTAAGGAAAACCACCAGATTTCTGATATTTTTTAAAGAAATGGGTCTGACATGAATTTTACTCTATGTTTAAGCATCAAATTACAGATGTGTGCTTTGAAGGTAGATTTGTGTGCCAGGGACTCAAAAATGATGGCATATTTAAGGCTCTACGTTCTCTATACAAACAGATTATCTAAGCCCTGGGTAAATAATAGGTGTGTAGCCACTCCTCAGAAGGAAGGTTGGGCAATCTACTTCCACAGTGATACTGCCTCAGAAACCCAAGCAGGGGTCGCTATGAGTCAGGTCTGACTCGATGGCACATAACTGCTACTACTACTACTACATAAGGAAGAAGAGAACTATTTCATTTTAAGATTCTTCCTTCCTTTTCTGACCTTACAGCAGAGAAAAAGTCAAGGATCTTCTCTCCCTGTGGCCAGAACTAGGACCTATAAGGCCACAGAGCAATAGAGGGCATCCTTGTTATCCCAGACTTCTGATTTCCACATTTTTAGATGTTCCCTGACAACATCACTGTGTTAAAAGAATACAAAATTGAGAGAAAAAAAAAAAGTTGGTAGTCCCATGTCTGGGAGCTATGGAAGAAGGAAGCTTCTAGAAGGTCACAAATCAGTAATTGACTGAATTTCTACATCTGGGTCATTTCTTGAGGGAGAAGGAATGGCTACTTGGAGATGGGAAGGGTGGTGACCTGGAGTCAGCAGCCCAGACTCTAGACCCACTTCTTTCTCTAACCAAATGACTACCTTTGATTCCAGATTTCTGTGGAACATCAGGCTTTCTTCTACATAAGCAGGAATTAGGAGGAATCTCTCTCTAAATTCTTTTCCAGTCTGTTGGACATGACCAGCCTTGACATTCATTCACCTGAATCCACAGTAAAGTTTCAAGAAGTATTTAAAAATTAGGACACTTATCACCTTACTTCATACTGTAAATCTTTTAACTACTGGAAATTAGACTGGAACTAGCAAATAGTAAGTTGTCTATAAGCACACTCCAGTAAAATCACTTGTGAAGCACACTTCTGATCAATCTTTCAGGCTCCTGACACACCAAATTAGAGGTAAGAATTCCAATTAAGTCTTTATCCTTTTGTAAACAAAAATCAATATACTCGGCAATGATGAAGAAAGGTCTTCATTGTTCACTTTTTCATGCCTTGAAATTGTTTTCCTCAAGAATAGTCCAGATGACAAGGGCCACAACAATATCAGCCATGAGAGTGGGTCTTTAGGTCAGCAGTCACGTCCATAAAACTCAATATGAAGAGGATGAAAATCACGAGTCTCAAAGTCCTGGATTAGGCAAGTTTCCGGAGGTGGAATCAGCGACCTCTGGGTGGTACTGGTGGAGGAGGATGGAAGGTCTCCCTGGTTGGAGGCCTGAAATAAAAGATAAAGTAACTCTATTTAAAACTTAATTTCATGAAGATTGCCCAACATGGTGAATGCAATTAATGTCACTGAACTGTATACTTAAAAATGGTTAAAGTAGCAAATGCTTTTGTTACCTATTTTAACACAATAAAATTATATATATATATATATATATGACCTAATTTAATTAAGTAGTTCTTAAATGAAAAAAAAACTCATTGCTGTCAAGTCACATCCCACTCAAAGCAACCCCTCCTTGGGTTTCCAAGATGGTATCACTACGGGAGTAGATTGCCCAATCTTTCTTCCAAGGAGTGGCTGGTGGGCTAACCAGCCTTCTGGTTAGCAGTCAAATGCCTGAGGCACTATGTCACCAGAGCTCCTAAGTAGTTCTTCGGCATCCAAAATTTGTTGCAAACTTGGTATACCATACATGTTCCTCATTAATGAGACACACATACAGACCTCTGAGTCTGTGTGTGTTGGCTGGGGCTCATGATTCTGGCCATACCTTAGAATCACTCGTAACCAGTTGCCAATGAGTTGATTCTACTTCATGGAGACCTAATGTGTTTCAGTGTAGAACGTTCCATAGCATTTTCAATGGCTTTGACTTTTGGAAGTAGCCTGCCAGGCCTTTCTTCCAAGATGCCTCTGGGTGGACTCAAACCCCTACCCTTTTGATTAGTAGATAAGTGTGTAGTGTTTGTGCCAGCCAGACATTCCTAAATCACCTGTGGAGATTTTGAAAGTACCAAGTCCCAGGCTCCATCCCAGGGCCATTCCTTCATAATCTCTGGAGGAAAGGGTTCAACCATCAAATGTTTTTAAGAGTGATCTCTCCCAGCCCCTCATCCCATGATTCAAACAGGGAGTGAGCCAGGCAGGAGAAATGCTGTAGTAAGGGGGTCCATTGAGAGATGAATTGAGAATTTCCAAGGTCAGCTTCTCACAACTACTTCCAGTAATTCACAGTAGGATCACTGTTAAGTGTGAGTTATCTTAACTCTACTTTTGCATTACTAGAAACCCTTCCATATTACTTCCTATTACTCTTGAATAGTCCCTAAATGGCATTCCAGATAGACTTGGGTGAGTCTATTTACAGACAGGTTCAATGATTGCAGATAGCATTTCCACATATGTGCTGTAAAACCAATATTTAATTCTCTTGGAAGCAAGTCAGTAAGTCAAGAAAGAGAGCTTTGTCAGGTGCTGTAATTGAACTGTGTTACCCTGGAGTTGCTCACTTAAGGATTGAATCAATCAATGAATAAATATTTACTAAATGTCTCTTGGGTGCAAGTTTTGCATAGGTTAAGGAAATGACTAACAAGTTGAGAAGAGAAGCCATCTAAGGAACGAGAGCAGAAATAGAAAAGAATAACGATGGACATCCTCAGGAGGTCCCCCAGACCCCAGTGAATAGACGGTTGTCACTGAGTGACTGAGATTTATCCAGTGAAAACAAATTGACAGTCTCCTTCCATCTCCTCAGCCTGCCCTCTGCATTGTGGTCTGATGGGACAGAAAAGCTGAAGTACAATCAGGTGATAACACTTATTACCTGAGAAAGGGGGTGACCAATTGCCATCAAGTCAATTCTAACTCATGAAGCACCATGTATATCAGAGTAAAACTACACACCATGGAATCTTCAAGGCCATGACCCATCAGCCTTACATTTTATTTTCTAACCACAAGGATGGTCATGATCCTTCCCGGCCTGTCTTCCTCTCTCTGCTGCCCCACTCTGCAGTTAGGGAGGTTACCTAGAAGCATACCATCTCTATATTTTGTTCTGATGAGCAACTCCCGCTAGAGATTGGAAGCCCCATCTCATAGAAATGGATTTGTGATTGTAGGTGTATCAGACCTAGGGAGGCAAAGGGGCGTTAAGTCAAAATCAGGGAGGTTATCTGTGGGGAGATGGACTCTCCAGGGCACTGGGACACTGGATATGGGGATACAATTCTCCAGGGATACCTAGGCGCTGCCCACTCACTCCTCCCTATTGATTGTGAGGTCTCACTGTTGATGAATTTGGTTTAAGAACTCAGGAATTCTGATGTTGGTTAAAACTCTTTTAAAGTAAGACAGTTATTTTAGTTGGTATGCACTTGTATGGTCATACATATTGTTGAAACTATTTCTAAACTTCCCTGTTAGTTAGTAAATAGCCTCTGTCTCAAGTCTCATAAGAGTCCCCCAACTCCCAGATGACTCCAGCCCCTTCAAGGAGCCTCACAGACATCTTTACAAGTCAGCAACTAATAATTGTTTAACTCAATGCTGCAAGAAACCTCTAGAATTTATCCTGATTAGATGGACCTAGATTAGATTAAGTCATGCCTTAAAGAGAAGTGTGTGGTTTATTAGCGATGGTCCTTCTGGAGTGCTGAAATAAATTCAAAACCAAAGAGAATGATGGCTCAGCAAGATTTTGGATTTTTTCTCAAGTGTGGCAGGGCTTTATCTATGCAGAGAATGATGCTCTCAGATGCCCAAGGAGCTGTAGCTTGACCAAGGAGCAAGGAAATGCTCTCAAAAATATAATATATCTACTCTTGTTCTTGTCATCATTTGCATTCCTTTACTTTGTTTTTTCAGCTAAAGATTCTGAAGACTTAGAGCCCATGGAATTATGCAGTCTCTTTCCACTAACTATTCCCCACCTGCCACATAGCATCCCCATGGTAGCTGGCGTGGTGACCAAACACTGAGGAGCTTAGGAAGTACCAATCCATCCATCCATTCATTCACTCATTTACACAATATATATTTACTGAGCTCCAGTTAAGGAGTCCTGGTGATGCAATGCTTAAGCACAATGCTAATCAAAAGGTTGGCGACTTAAACACAACCAGCTGCTCCCTGGGAGAAAGACCTGGTAATCTGCTCCATGAAGGTTGTTGTTGTTAGGTGCTGTGGAGTCAGACCTGACTCATAGCGACCCCTCCTTGGGTTTCCGAGGCAGTATCACTACAGAAGTAGATTGCCCAATCTTCCTTCCAATGAGTGACTGGTGGGTTTGAACCGCCAGCCCTCTGGTTAGCAGTCAAGTGCTTTAGGCACTATGCTATCAGAGCTCCTCCCCCATGGATTTGTGATTGTAGGTGATTACTCCCCCATGAAGATTATAGCCTAGAAAACCCTATGGGCAGTTCAACTCTTGTTACATGGAATTGCTACGAGTCAAAATCGACTTTGGAAACCCAAGGAGGGGTCGCTATGAGTCAGGTCTAACTCGATGACAGTGTGCTTGGTTTTGGTTTTAATAACAACATGTACTAGTTACTGCTATGCACTGGGGGATAATAGGGAGAAAAATTGAAGTCTCTGTTTTCAAAAGGCTTGCCAATCACTTGAGGAGATAGATATAAACAAGGGCCACAATGCGGAACGTATCACAATAGAGGTGTTTGGGGGACCGAAGGAAGGAGATTCAGTCTGCATAGAAATATCAGGAATGGTTTCAAACAGGAAGTAATGTTTGGACTGAGTCCCAAAGGATGCATAAGAACTGTCTAAGCAGAGAATGGAAGACAGCATTCCAGGCAAAAGTGTGGGCAAAGGCACAGTGGTACAAAATGGTACAGCTCACTGGGAATTCTTAAGGGGTGGGGCACAGGTAAATATGGGAGATGGGTGCAACCTGAGGCTAGCTGGAGCCAGGGTATGCTAAAGAACTTAGAATTGAATTTCAAGGCTTTTATGCCAGGAAGTGACATAATCAGCTATTTATGTTTTAGAAAGTGCACTCTGGTTGCAATGTGGAGGAGGTATCAACTGGAGGCATAGAGATAAGTGTAGGCATATAATGATGAACTTCACATTGGCAGATGGAGAGGAGGGGGTGGAACTGAGAGCTGAAAGGTAGCAGGATGGACACAGCCTGGAGACACAGGGCTGTGGAAGCTGTGAGGGAAGCAGGAATCAAGGATTTCCCAGGGTTGGGGCTTGAGGAGGGGAGAGAATGGGGCCATTATGTCAGGTTGGAAATTCATGAGGAGAAGGAAATTTGGGGAAAGCAATGGTAGGTGGGATTTGGGGTGTGAGATCTCTGTGGGACATCAGTGTGTAGATACATAGATAGATGGCTTCCATTGAGAAGACTGACTCACGGCAACCTTCTGCACAAGAGAACGTTGCCTGGTTCTGCGTCATGTTGTGATCACCAGCATTCTCAAGTCCATCACTGTAGCTGTTGTTGCCAAGTCAGTTCAGTAGGTCTCCCTCACCCTTCCCTCACTGGCTCTCTAATTCACCAAACACCATGTCTTCCTTCAATGATTGATCCCTCATGATGACGTGTCCATAGCAAGTGAATAAGATAATAGTCTATCATAAGAGAACCCATTAAGTGTTTCATTGGCTAATTTTCAGAAGTCGATCACCAGTCCCTTCTTCCTAGTCTGACTTAGTCTGGAAGGTCTGCTGAAAACTGTCCACTGTGGGCGACCCTGCTGGTATTTGAAATACTGGTGTCATAGCTTCCAGCATCACAGCAACATGCAAGCGCCACAGTACAACAAACTGGACAGATGGGTGGTGGTGTCATCGCCAGTCAACAGTAGGGAATAGAAAGCTGAGATAGAGACGGAGATTTGGAGTCTTTCTCTGCCAGGGGCAATTAAAGCTCTAGGGATAGCCTGCAGCGTGAGCAGATGAATGGACCGGGATGGATGGAATGACTAACAGAAGGAAGGTTGCATCCACCAGTGCTCCTCACGGGGGAGGGAGGTATTCAAGAGATGGGCAAGGAAGAGTTGCCAATTCCTGGAACTGGAAGAAAAGAAGAAGCCATACAGGTCAGCTTCCTCTTCTGTCTGTAAGTGGGTCAAGCATTTAAGCCATTCAGGTGAGAGGCCCATTTTATTCTCTGCTCAAAGATCTCATTTTATTATGAAGACTGCATACATATTACAAAACAACTGCATATTTGGAAGTCTTTTTCCACACCCAAAATATACCCAAGCCCCAAATTCTACCAATCACAGATTTCTTTGTGAACGCTCTTTCTTTAGTAAAAAAACGTTTTCCTCCTTCTCTCTTCCACCTTTATCACAACATGCTTCCAGACTCCCAAAACAATTTATCTGCCTTCTCTTTTCACACATTAAACTGCATCCAAGTTTCTATTCTTTAATATATGGATCCTGTTTCCTGGGTTGTCCTATTTTTCTCTTCTATTAACAAAATCCTGCTGAATCTTTGTAGCTATATTCTTGAGCTTACTAACTCTTGTATTTTGGTATGGTTAGACAACTAGCTCCCAAATCCACAGCCTTCAGTAGTAAAAGGGTCTTGAATCCTGGACCTCTTCCCATGCCACCCAGGCTTTCTTGGACAGGTATAATGTAATGACTAAGACACTAAGTCCTGGCATTAGTGTATCTTGACTTGTCACACAGGGCAAGTGTCAGCCCCGTCTCAAGCCCCAGATTCTGCACCTTCAAAATGGTATAATATTAAATATCTACCTCTTAAGATTATGGAGAGAATTAAATGAGAGAAAGCATTTAGAGTGTTTAACATAATACCGGGCACATGGCAAGCAAATAACATTTGCATTTGTTACTATAATCTCTCACTGTGAGCTTCCTTGTCCCATTATTGACTATATAGTAGTTTTCAAGCAACAAAACTCTGGCTGAATTCTAGCCAAGCAAATCAAAATTATTCAATAAGTTGATGTTTAACAATATATCTCATTTCTGAAATATTACATTTGCTATTTAAAATATTAAGAACTGAATAAAGCATCACTTAAATTAACCAAGAGTCCACATTAAAATATACCATCCAAAGTAAACATTTCCATTAGCTCTGTTTTGATTCATCGGTCATCTTACATGTCCCCAAATCCTCCTCTCCCCTGGAGCTCAGAAAGTGAGGCAAAATTTCCCATCAGACTCAGTATTACCTCTGTGAAGCAGCTCGAGGAGGCACCCTGGGGGGCCTTTCAAGGGGCACCATGGGTGTTCCATCTACTTGCTGGGGGCCTGGACTACGACTTCTTACAATCTCAGGGACTTCATTATCCTACAGCAAGCCAGATGATGAAGAAGAAAGGTGAAAATTACTTTAAGCAACTAGCATAGTCGGACAACAGTACCCCCAAAGCCCATCAGCCCTTCTCAGGCTTTGGCTGAAAGTTATTCATAAGTTGATTGGTTATCAACCCAGCATTCCCCACGCAGCTTCCCAGCATTCCTAGCATCACTGAGGAGGACAATCTGGCCCAAATTATCACTGATGGCCTGAACGCTGGGCCGCTGTGGTCCAGCACTGTCAGCATCCCTGGATGCCTGTTAGAAATGCAGCATCGCAGGCTCCTCCCCAGACCTGCATTTTAACAGGATCTCCAGGTAACTCTTATGCATATTAAAGTTTGAGAAGCATTGCTCTGTAGAACCAGGGTAAAACAAACAAACAAAATGGTTGTCACTGAGCTGATTCCAACTAATGGCTATCCCATGTGAGTCAGAGTAAAACTGTGCGCCATAGGATTTTCAGAGGCTGATTTTTCAGAAACAGACCATCGGGCCCTTCCTCCAAGGCACCCCTGGGTGGACTTGACTCCAACCTTTCAATTAGCAGCTGAGAATGTTAACGATTTATACCACCCAACGACTCATAACCAGGGCAATTTTATTTTTAAACAAATGTTCCTTTTTGGGAAACCAGAACTGTGAGTGGTCCTCAGGTGATACAAGCTGCACACTAGAGGGATCACTCAGCCCTAGAACGCTTCTCAGGGAATGTGCTGGGTTGGCAGAGGGCTCTCCATTCACCCTGGCCACTGCTCACTGGATCAGGGAGACACCCAGACCCAAAGTGAGCCAACTTGGCCTGGGGCCTGGGCCTGAAGCAGCATCTTACTCTCTGCTCCAAAGCCTTGTGGACATGGAGAAGTGGAAAAAGCCCGTGTGTAGTGAGGGAAGAGGCAGACATACCCAGAGAAACAGGGATGAAGGAGTGTGTGGCCCTGGGGACACATAGGGAGCAGGGGCTGCACAGCTCCCGATCCAGGCCCTGGGCTTCCCTGAGACTCCCCCAGCTCCTTCCCACAGATGCCTTCTTGGGCTTAACTGGTCTGAGTGGATTTCTAGTCCTTGCACTGAAATGGCCCCTGAATAAGAAGAGGCAGATGAGAGTGGGGGTCCACAGTGCTCACCTCATTGTCCCCCTCCATCCCACTGCTCACACTGAGGAGGCTCCGAGTGCTAGATCGGTTACTGGCGCTGCCTAATGGAGAGAAACAAAATCAGCCACACAGACTGTGCAGTTCTCAGGCTAAAATAAAATGCTGAACATTTACACTTACTTATGTTTACTGGTAGGAAACAAAGATAAGCTATGGATGTGGATTTTTAACAATAGAGTCTAGTTCCTCTTTCAGCATAAAATGATACGGTTCAAATTTTTTGTGTACCATATGTGCAATACAGTGACCATTTATTGAGGGCTTATGACATGTTAAATACTTTCAAAACATTACTGCACTGAATCCCTATGAAAATCCCACTGGATGTTAGTGCTCTGATTTGACAGACAAGAAAGCAGAGGTTCCTGGGCCCTCAGTTGTTCAGTAGTATTTCTAAAACCTGCAAACAAATTTTGTTGCTGTAGTTCTTCACTTATTTAGGAGTGATAGCAAACAAGAACATGTATCAAACATATTCTTAATAAGAGGCCAGGCAGTTTGACACAGAACAAATTATAAAGTATAAATTCAAAAGTATAATTTACGCTCACAGTAGGAATTGTGACCATGTGAGATTAGGTTCGCAAGGATTTTGAGCTGGGAACTTATCACCTACATCAGCACAGTGCTGTTCAGCAGAACTTTCTGGAAATGCTTTATTGTTCACTATCCAATATGGCAACTAGTGTGAAATGTGGCTACTGAAACTGAGGAGCTAAACTTTAAGTTTTATTTAAGATTAATTAACTTAAATTTAAATAACCAAACTCACTGCCATCGAGTTGGATCTGACTCCTAGTGACTACTCCCTTGGGTTTCCAAGGTGGTATCACTATGGAAGTAGATTGCCCAATCTTTCTTTCAAGGAGTGGCTGGTGGATTTGAACCACCAGCCTTCTGGTTAGCAGTCAAATGCCTTAGGCACAGCGCAGCACTAGAACAAGTTCAAACCATGGTGAGCTAGCAATGAAGAATAAAAGCTGATCAACTAAAACAAGGAGATTTTGACTTTAACATACCAATTACAGCAACTTGCCATTAGTAGCATTGCCATACCTTAGGTTTTCTGATTTTCCACATAAAAAGTAGCTCCTAATTAGGCAATCTACTTCTGTAGTGATACTGCCTCAGAAACCCAAAGAGGGGTCACTATGAGTTGGGATCGACTCTATAGCAGTGTGTTTGGTTTGGTATATAAAGACTATCAAAAAGAAAGTCTTAGTTTTGACTTCACTGTGTTATAAAATTTGACCTAATTAACTGATGTTAACTTGAATAGAGCAGATTAAGATTATAATTTTGGATTATTTTCTTGGGGGCAGATTTTTTAATTCAAAATACTGTGTCCAGCCAGAAGAACTAGATGGTGCCCAGCTACCACCATTAACAACTCAGAAAGGGATCAGTGCAGGAGATCCTGGATAGAGTGGGAGAACAATGTGGAACAAAACTCAAAATCATAAAAAAAAAAATAGAGAGCCTGGTGAGACTAAGGCCCCTCTTCAAGTCTGAAACTAACTGAACTCAGTCCCATGGCTTCCAGCCAAACAATGGACAAGAATGTTGTTGTTGTCATGTGCCGTTGAGTCGGACCGATCATAGTGACCCCTCCTTGGGTTTCCAAGGCAGTATCACTACGGAAGTAGATTGCCCAACCTTCCTTCCGATACATTGCTTAGAACGATCAATCACAGAGGAACAGAAGGGCAGTATTACACAGGGAGATGGCTCAGGGGGCAGGAATGCATGAGAAAGAAGGACACAGGGAAATGGTAACTACAGGGAAGAAGTGGGAAGAGACCTGTTACATTGTGGAGATTTGCAAGCAAGCTCTGGTGGTGTAGTGCTGAAGGCATTTGACTGCTAACTAGAAGGCTGGAGGTTCAAACTACCAGCCACTCCTCAGAAGGAAGGTTGGGCAATCTACATACGCAGTGATGCCTCCTCGGAAACCAAGGAAGGGTCACTATGAGTCGGATCTGACTTGACCTCAGTGAGTTTGGTTTGGTTTGGTTTTGGTCATGAAACAAAACGTGTATGAACTTCTGTATGGAAAATGAATTTTCTTTGTAAACTTTGACCCAAATTACAATAAAAAATTTTTTAAAAAATACCATGTCCAGGTATTTCTATAAACCAGGGGATTTTTAATTTACATATTAAGGAGCACGTGACTCTGTCACACACTTGCATGTGCATTTTTCGGGGATGTGGATTTGCCGTATATATTGATTATCAAAGGGGTTTGCAATACAAAAGATTAGGAACCCCTAGGTCTAATGACTTCGAAATTAAGCTTCTCTCCTGCTCTTTTGTTACATTTCCTTGGTGTTGTGATAATGACAACCAAATGCATGAAAGAAGGGAAACTCAAACCATTTAGTTTGTGAAGCCAGTGTGTCCTAAGCTAGCTAACAGCACTCTGGATACCATAACAAAGGCTCCGGTTCCTGCCTGCATGTCAGCCTCTATTGGCTGTTGCAATCAGACTCTTATTCAAGCTTTCCAGCCAAAATAGGAGCCATTTCCTAATTAGATCCTCAACTCGCCTGTGAAGTCAGGATTCTCAAAATTGACTCCATTGTTTTCTGACTTTGTACAAGTTCTACCCAGGGCTTCAAGCCAGTTCATTCTAGTTTGACCTTCTGCTGAGAGTTTGCATTTCCACCCCAGAAATAATGAATCAGAATCTATATTTTAACCAGATCTTATATCTCTGTTAGAATCACCTCGGGGATCCTGTTAAACTGTATTTGCAACTCAGAAAGGGATTCAGTAGATCTGGGGTGGAAATGACAGTTCTCAGCAGGAGTTTGAACTAGAATGAACTGGTTCAGATGCATGGTTCTACCACAGTAGGGGAGGCAGCGTGAATAGTGCTTAAGAGTCTTGGCTGTAAATTCAGATTGTGGTTGTTGTTGTTGTGTTTGCCATAAGTCAGATCCAACTCATAGCGACCCCTCCTTGGGTTTCCGAGGTGGTATCTCTACAGAAGTAGATTGCCCAACCTTCCTTCTGAGGAGTGGCTGGTGGGTTTGAACTGCCAGCCTTCTGGTTAGCAGCCAAATGCCTTAGGCACTTCACCACCAGAGGTTCCAGATTGCCTGAGTTCAAGTCCCTGCTCCTCCACCAACCTAGCCATGAAACTAGGCCAAGTCACTAAGATTCTCATTTCCTCAGGGTTAAACAGATGATAACACATCTCTCATAAAGTTATTGTGAGCATTAATCTGGGGAAGAGGCTTAGCATATGGTAACTGCTCAGTAAATATTAACTATTACTATTACTAGATTTTGCTGTTTATAAAAGAGAAATGACTATCATGTAATCTGGCTTTAGAGGTACCTGTGAAGAGGAACTTTGGCCTTATGGAAGAAAGACCTCATAGGAATGTTCCTCGATTCTTACACCCCACACCCAAATCAGGCTCCAGTTGAGACCTCTTGCGCTTTCAACAGAACGTTTCCACAGGCCCAAAGTCACCAGCTGAAGCCCAGCTGTGACACACTGCCAGGTCGGCCCTGCTCACTTGCTGTGCTGGAGGTACTGTCTGTTTTCCAGTCTCCTCGTCTTAGCTCCGTCCTGGGTGGGAAGACGCTTTTCCTGGGGCCACTCTCATAGACTCCATACTCCACTTTTGCAGGCAGGTGCTGTGAGTGCCGAATTGGGACTGTGATCTCCAAGTCTGGAATTAGAGGGAAGCTGGGTAAGCTTCAAGACACCAGACCACCATTTACCAAACTGCTCAGCTGCTTCCTCTTTTCCTGCCTTTCTCATCTGATCCTGGAGGCTGCTGGGAGGAGTGAGAGGGGAAAGAGAAGGTGGAGGGAAGAGTGAAGAACTGGGAGAAGAGAGATAAGTAGGAAGGGGAGGCTGCCAGGACAGGTGAAAAGGGAAGCCTGGACTCACTTAGAGGACAGGATCCATGTCCCATTCAGCTCTGAAACTCTGCAGAGTCCTGTGTGCCAATCACTAGGTGACAGAAGAGAAGGATGGAGGGATGAGGAATGTGGGGCAAGATCAGAGAATGATGGAAAGAACATGAGACTGCAGAAAGGTTTGGGCCCCAGCTCTGTCACTTACCACCTGTGAAAGTTGAGTAACTGAGCCTCTCTGAATCACTGCCCTTACATCCATCATTGATTATAATTATAGGCTGAGCCCTGGTGGCACGGTGGTTAAGTGCTGGGCTGCTAACCAAAAAGTCAGCTGACTCAAACCCGCCAGCCACACTGCCAGAGAAAGATGAAGCCGTTGGCTTCCGTAAAGATTTAAAGCCTTGAAAACCCTATGGGGAGGTTCTACTCTGTCCTGTGGGGTGGCTGTGAGTTGGAAGCAACTTGATAGCAATGGGTTTGCTTTGGTTGGTTTCCATACATCAGCCACAGTTCCAAGTTTTGGTCCTTGGGCCTTGGTTACAACTGTGCACTGGAAATCCCCACCCAAGCTTGGAGCCACTTAGGCAGAGAACAGCCAAGTGCACCCTCATGTAGGTGTGAGCCTGATGTAGCTTTATTCTAATAACCTCTTTAAGGGAGGCTTCTTTCTGCTTAATTAACTTCAATGAGGTCATTTTCTACCCTCAATCAGTTCTGAGAGGAAGCAAAGTTAAATATATAAGGCAGTCCCCAGGTTATGGAAAAGATCTGAACCAAGTGAGTCTTTCAGAATTTGTAGGTAAGTTGGAACAGGTGCAAGTGGTTCTCGTTTAGCCTTACTTTAGTGCAAGAGAGGCTCAAAACCTTTTCAATGATTTAAAAGCTGCACATGCAGCAAGTGGATGCGATTGTGCTGAATTTGTTTCCGGTATTGATTTGGTTCAATCGTTTCAAAGTGAGGGCAAATTTATGTAACATTAAAGAAAGGGCAAATATAAGTTGACAGTAAGTCAGACATTCATAACTCAAGGACTGCCGATACAAGGAAAAAAAATGAGGGCCAAAAGTTCCAAAATTCAAGTAGATCCAGTCTAAATGTCTACAAAATCCTGATATTCTTTGAATGAAGGTCCAGTGATGGGAATAATAATTATCACAGTTATACTGGACAGTACTTTTTCCATTGTCATATCTGGGTTTCACTACTTCTCTTTTGGGAGCTCTGGTGGTGTAGTGCCTAAGGCATTTGACTGCTAACCAGAAGGCTGGTGGTTCAAACCCACCAGCCACTCTCAGAAGGAAGGTTGGGCAATCTACTTCCGTAGTGATACTGCCTCAGAAACTCAAGAAGGGGTCGCGATGAGGCGGATCCAACTCCATGGCAGTGGTTGTGTTGCATTTTACTTCTCCATTAAGCAGATAAGTCAGATATAAACACAGATGAGGAAACTGAGGCACAGAGTGGTTAAAAGAATCGACCCAGATCATAAAGTGATCCAGTGACAGAACAGGGACCAGAACGCCACTGTCCTAGGGCACATCCTGCTCCTCTCTGTCCTGCCCAGGACTGCTCACAGACACTCCCAAAACACAAATATTGATTGTCTTCTCTGCAGGGCCAGGCTATTCAAGAGCATATGAACATCTCCAAGTCACAAGTCATGCTGGTCCTCCTCTGATTTCCTGTGCCAGGAAAGGCAAAACAACCCCCGCGGGCCAAGAAAGACTGGCAAATTATTATGAGCAGATTCTTAGTTTTTAATTATCTTTGGTGTGCTAACCCAAATTGAAGAAAGTAATCATTTTCTTTTTCTTTTCCAAGGCAAATGAAGTTTCCAAATTAATAGAGTTAATCTTTGTGTTTAGAGTGGGTTACACTCCTGGAAAAAGTCCTTCAAGCAGAAATGCCATTCATCAATACTAATTTTCCTATAGATCAGCGCTATTGTGTGTCAATGGTTTTCAAATATTTTTTGTTTCTTATGAAGCAGAATTATTCCTCTAGCAGAAACAGAAGTGCATTATGAAGAACAGATTTTTAAAAGGAACTTTGATGGCAGAAGCCCTGGGTGGCACACACCGCTTGCACTCGCAGTTGGTGGTTCAAACTGACCCAGCAGCCCCGTGGACTTGACAGCAATGAGTTTTGATTTACGATGGTAGAAACAGAGTAAATTGACCTAAACCCCAACTGCATGGTGTGTCTCAATCCAAATCCATCCCTTCCTCCCCCTCTGACTCCCCTGAGTCTCCACTTTTCTCCACCCTCAACACCCTCTCAACAAACCCCCTCAACAAACACACATATAGCAGTCCTGAGCTATACTCAATGTGAAAACCCCTGGAGGAGGTAATCATAAACTATCACATAACTAAATACATAATAGATTTTTCTAGTGATAACTAATCTGTCATATTTACTCTCCATAAATGATGCCTCTCTCTGGTAGATGTTCTGATGCCTTTGGCCCTCCCTATTGCAGTGCAGGGCAATGACTTCCAACTGCCTGAGGCTTTCTCTAGTAGCCTCAATCAATGACTGGATTGGTGTATAAATGTCCCAGCTCTCTAGCCCCTCACGTAGACTAACTTTGAGACAGATGTTCTCCATAGATTCCGAGTCTCCAGTGAGATGATGGTCCACCTTCCATAGTAGTGACTGCACTCAGTTGGCGACCTTCCCTCCCCAATTCTCACTTCCTCATCCCCTACAGGATTCCCTGGGATCACCTCCCAAATAATCGACTTACTCTCAAATCTTTGTCAGAGGCTCTGCTTTTGGGGAGTGAGAGGGGAAAAGGTATAGGCTTCTTTGGGAAAAGTTTAGACATTATAAATTCTAATTAAGACTACAGCCAGTGGTAGGTATAAATCACTTACTCAGAGCCTGATTAACCTTGGATGAACCTCATGTTTAAAAACCTATAACTCCAGGGCCCAACCTTGGAAGGTGAGTCCCTGTCCCATGCACTCCTCCCTGAGATGTCCTGCCTGAGAGGACACCAGCTAGTGTGTGGGTCCATGTATAACCGTGAGAGTGGATGTTTTTACAGTGCTTCTATGTGCCAGGCATAGTGCTGGGCACCATTTATACCCTAGCTCTTTCTAACCTCACAGGAACCCTAATGGGGTTGGCATTTTTATTTTTGCCATTTTGCAGATGAGGACTGAGGCTAAGGCAGGTAACTTATCTTGCCCATGGTTCCCAGCTAGTTACGCAGGAACAGTGAACGGGAATTTGATCTCCTAGCCTCATCTACCTCACTGCATGTGTGTCTGTCTTGCTTCATTATTGCTAGTGGCATTGGGTAGAGCCCACCAGGTGGGTTGGTGGAAAATGTGTGATGATACCTGGTGGGACCAGCTGTCAAGCCCTGATTGCTAAGCACCCACGATTCCAGAACTATCACTCCCTGGCCTTCAAACACCGGGTGCACTGCCAAATCACAGGTCTCTTGATGCTGCCTGGCTGTATTTAAAAGCTTGAAATGTTTCATTTAATCAAGGCTTCTATCTTTAGGCTCATATGCTCTGGTTTTAAAAAGGACCTCAGCCATTCTTGCCACCTAGAATAAAATGTCTGACCCTAGGATGACTGTGCAGAGCTTGAACCAGATTTTTTGCCTTTTCTCCTACCTTTTCCTCTCAACTAGGAGGGCTGACAAGTATGGGCTTAAGTAGTAGCAGCATAAATGTAAAATCTAGACACCCAAGCACAAGTCCTAGGATGGCCTTTCTGATCTTCTGTGGTGGTTATAACCTCTTAACTCCTCTTCTCCCCAACAACTGAAGGCATTAATATTCACTTGTGGCTAGCTGCCACAGAGTTGACCTCCAACTCATGGCAACCTCATGCACAACAGAACAAAATACCACCCAGTTCTGCACCATCCCATGATAGGTTATGGATCAAACCACTGTAATATTCACTAGGCTACTTCTATATGCAAAACCCTGTACTAGACATAGTGGGACATAGGAACTGGAGTAAGCCACAGACCCCTTGCAGGGGAAATCAGACCTAGACAAATAAAAAGACAGAGACTTCTGGTAAGATGGCGGAACAGGCAGACAAGCGACACAGACCTTCTTCAACAAAGAGAAGAAAAACTAATTGACAGAGATACAGAAGATAATCCTGGAGCCTTGAACTTTGAAAGGAACAATACAGAAGTGGATTAGGCACCAACTAGTGGAAAAATCTGAATGAAAACAGTGAGTGCAGAGACGGTCAGAGCTGCAGACATGGTCAGAGCTGCAGACTGTCAGCTACTCTTACGGGACCAACAGCCTGAATATTTCCAAGTGGTGTTGGGACCTGAGAATTGACCTAAAGATCAACCCTGGTCACCAGGGGCTGCAGGGACAACTGCACTGGTGGCCCATGACTAGGAAGGGAAACAACAAGGAGGAAGACAGCCTGAGCTGTTGACTTCCCGCTGTCAAGAGGGTGCAGTCATTTTGATTGTTTACACACGACAGCCATTTTGGATATTTAAAGTGACTGAGGCACAGCCATTTTGAATGTTGACAAGCAGCGACCATTTTGGATATTTAAAGTGACCAAGGGCTCAGCCATTTTGACTCTTTACAAGTGGTAACCATTTTGGATTTTAAAGTGATAGCATTCTCATTTGGATTCCAGGGACCTAAGAATAGGATCAGGAGCTCTGGTAGCATAGTGCCTAAGGCACTTGACTGCTAACCAGACAGCTGGCGGTTCAAACCCACCAGCTACTCCTCGGGAAGAAGGTTGGGCAATCTACTTCCAGAGTGATACTGCCTCAGAAACCCAAGGAGGGGTCTCTATGAGTCAGGTCTGACTCAACGGCCCATAACAACAACAACAAGAATAGGATCTATGTGCCAAGGTTGGCAGGGACATATGAGAGGCTGACAACAGGAAAGG